AAAAAAAAAAAAAAAAACAGAAAAATGTTTGATTTACGTAATGGTTTATTACACGGTCACGGAAGATTTAAAAGTTAAGGTCGATATAAATCAAAGGAATGAGAAGAAGAGGAAGGAAGAGATAGTTACAAAAAGAAGAAGAAGAAAAAGAAGAAGAGGAAGAAGGGAAGAAAAAAAAATAAACCAAATAATAATAATTCTTGGTCGTATTTCGTTCGTTAGTTCGTTCGTTGGTACAACAAATTCGTATGTTATTTTGAAATTGCATAAAATGAAAAAATTGGTTGAACAAACGAATTATTAATTATCCAATAGCAATTGACGCAGGATGATGGGAAGACCCGATAATTGGTCAAACAAAAATATACTTTTAAGTGAGCTAACATAGCATGTAAACTTAACAGAAAGGGAGAAACGTAACACACACCTTACCGGTTTTAATAGTTATCTATATGTTTCTTATATGCTAAGTTATTTTATTTCCAACTTACTTTACTCATATACATTCACTCTATTGGTTTCTTATCCAAATAAGAGGAGGAATAGCCGGAAAAATTCACCTTCCTTGCGTTAAAGCAAACAAGCAAGTCAGTAGAATATACCAAATTGTGTGCAGACACGTTTAGTCTCTAACGGTCCCCGTTCGTTTCTACTTTCAAGCTCGTACGAGTTAGAAGAATATTATCCGACGAAGTTGCGTATCTTCTAGCAACGTATTTTCCGTTCCTCAATTGACTTGTTTTCATCATTTCCATCACGTATGCGCGCGAGTGAATGTACATATATACAGGGTGTCCAATTTTCATTCAATAATAATAATAATAATAATAATAATAATAATTACGATCTCTCACACGGTGTTATTTATAGAGAGATGTTTATTTATATTATATTATATTGTATTATATATATGGTATTGTATTGATTAAATAAATAAAAAAAAAATAAATAAACGAAAAAGAAGGTAGCACGTGATCGTAGATAAAAAAGAAGAAGTAGAAGAATAAGAAGAAGAAACTCCGCGAGTAGAATCTAGAAAATCTTGGGAGGACGAGCAAGGAACTTAAATATCCTAGCCGTTGGTCACCATTTATGGTTATTCTTGGTAAAAACACGTTCCCGCTAATTACTGTGCATTTTCTCGGATTTATATTTATAAACCGCATTTGTATTTTTCTTTTACCGTTTCTACCATAAGGTAAAACCTTAAAGTTGTCGCGAACCCTTTAAGTACCATTCCCATTCGCAAAAGAATTAAACTGGTTCTATCTCTTTCTCGGTAAAGAGAAAGAGAGAGAAGATTTTCTTTGGGATATACCACCATACCAACCACCATATACCGATCTTTATTGGGGTTTATATCGTTCCAACTCGAGGGAATCCCGAGTTTAAGAAAATAAGATAACATTTTTGTTTCTACAAATAGATTAACTTTTTTCAATTTGGAAAATCTTGTTGGGTCGATGAACCTTTCTTTAGAAGAGGACTCGTTCGGCAACAACTTTTTTCCCTTCTTTTCATTCGAAGTGAAAAGAAATCTTTGCCTTTGTAAGGACAAATCCGTTAACACGTTAACTAATACGAGAGTAACCAGTACTCGTACTTATAAGAATCTTTTATCTATATCATTGACAAAAATTACGATTACGAAAGTCATTCTAATTATAACGTTAATTATAATATCATATGAAATAATTATTCATTGAAACATACATCGGTTTTTTTTCTTTCTTTTTTTTTTTTTTTTTTACATAAACCATATAAAATATTAAGAATTTAATCATTCGTCTCTTTTGCTTAAGAAATATCGTTTCAATGTGCGAAAAACAAATTTACGTACGTGCTAATTGACACGCATTTAACTCGATTCACCTGTACGCAAACTGACGTATTAGAATCTTCTCGATGATAATAATTTAATCGTAAACGTGTTAAAGACGAATAAACGAAATAACATACATGCTCGACTTTCTTTTTTTGTTTTAAACAAAATTTATCTTTTTACAAAAATGGAATCGTATCTCGTTTAAAAAGCAACGGGACTTCTTTACGATAGTTTTTTTCGCGTTAAACTTCGCGAGAGAACACATTAAGTCAGTGAAAGAAATTATTTATGTTTATCACCTTTAAAAATAACATCAAATCTTTAAACGCGTTTATTTAAATCTATAAATACATATATATATATATATATACGGTTATTTCATTTTACGAATCTTCGTTTTACAGTTACGCCGGAGGGCAGACACTTCTATCGCGTTCGTCCGTTATTGAATAATTCCTCGAGGACGGCCTTTGCACTTCTCGGCCCAATTTCTAAGAAGACGATGCCTTTACCAATGGAATTCCATTAAACAAACAAAAAAAAAAGAAAAAGGAAAAACAAAAAAAAAAAATTAAGACAAATTTGTCGATTTCTTCGCGATCGAAGGAAGACATTTTCGTAAATTAAAAAAGAAAAAAAAAAAAGAAAGAAACAAAGTGTAACTAATCGATCTACAAATTTTTCTAAATCAATAAACTCGATAACTAATTTGTGAGAATCTTGGTAAAATCAATATTTAACGACTTTTTCTCGATAAAATGTATATTTTTATCTAAAGTAAGAAGTTTTCGTTTGTTGGTTGATGAATCATCGATTATCGAATAAGAAAAGAAAATAAACGTGATTCGTCGATCTACAAATTTCTAAATCAATGAACTCGATAACGAATTTGTGAAAATATTGTCGAACAAATATTTCACTTGTATTCGATAAAACGATATATTGGAAAAATACAAATTAACGTTCGTTAAGAACTTATCGTAGGCTAAAAAGTAGGAGGAAATAAAAAGTGCAGTTAATCATTCTGTATAATAATATTACATATATAAATCGATAGATATTCTGAAATGAGCAAATAAAAAAGAAGATAGAAAAAGAAATAGAAAAACACGATTGGTTTGTATAAATACAAAATTATGATGATAAAAAAGTGATAATAAAAATAAAACGAAACGTTATAATATAATGATGTACTATGAACGTTCGTTTGTTCGTTCGTTCCATTTTAATCTAACGTCTACAATTATTCTGTACAATTACAAACAGACGAATGAATTAATTACGGTTCGAATCATACGTAAAGATACATTGAACGAATCGACATGCACTTTATCACATTCTATACAATATAGACCGTAAAATATTATTATTCGTTCTTGTATCAGCATACATGTATGCGATATAAAATGTATATATATATATATACGTACGGGAACATGTTTAGATGTGTAGCAAGTGTTCTCTGGAGCGTGCATAGATGAAACAAATACAACGTTAATTTGCAAATGACTTAGCTAGTCGATCGTTCGATAGAAAATGAAAGTTTTCCCTTGACAGGACTTCGTGCCGGGCGGCACCGTGGCCGCGGACGTCTATAATTACACGGTAAACACGTCGCCAACGCTATGCTACGAATAACTAATATATTCAAAAGAAGAAGAATAAGAAGAAGAAGAAGAAGAAGTAGAAGAAGAAGAAGTAGAAGAAGAAAAAGAAATGCGTGTCGATCGGTAAAAGAAATAATAAGAATAAGAATAAGAAGAAGAAGATGTTAAGATATATGTATACAACGTTAACATATTAATCTTATCTAAAGGAGATGATGGAGAGTCGATGATGTCGCAGGTAATTTGTGTTACCTTTATTAGAAAACACGGTACATATATTAGATAGTTACGAAATGTGCTTGAGAGATCACTTTCGCGTATTGAAAAGCCGGAAGATTGTTCGCAACTCCCGCCAATTGGTTTCAATCGTTATAACGTTATTTACTTATATTTTCTAATTTAAAATTCCTAATTTTTTTTTTCCCAAAATTACATTAAAAAACCCCCCGGCGAATCAATCGAAACGTAATAAAATAAAATTGACGCGGAAAAAAGTATGTGTTTGATGGGGATTAAAAAAAAAACACATACACACAATTGCAATAGATAGAGAGAGAAAAAAAAAAAAAGAAAAATTTGTTGGAAAAAAATAGGTGATCCCAAGATCGACGAGGAGTAATGGGTTATGTCATAGAAAAATCAATTATATAAGAGAAAGAGAAGAAAGATAGATGGATAGAAAAAGAGAATGAGTGAGAGAAAGAGAGAGAGAAAGAGGAACGTGCACTGACCTGGGGCGCTCGAGTTCGACAGGGCAGTCGCGGACTGTCTGTTCGTTCAGTTGGACGGGGGGAAGATTCTTCATCGGGCGTTCACTATCATCGTGAGTCTTCGACTGGACTGCGTACCCGGCCCGGAGGAGAGAACCCGTTCCAACTCTCCCGGCGGCTCCCTCTTCTTTTTCCTTCAATCCTCGGCCCTGTCTGAGAACGGCCGAAGGTTGCCCTCGGCCGCATTACCTCGGCCAACAGCAGCGTCGCATACCCACCGTCCAGGCATTACGCTGCTGTTGCTGCTCCTGCTGATTCCAGAACGACGAATAAAGAGAACAAGAGACGACAACAACAACAAAAAAAAACAAATAAAATGAGAAGGGAAAGAGAATAGAAGGAAGGAAGGAAGGAAGATGAGGATGAAGAAGAAGAGGAGGAAGAAATAAAAGTAAAATGCTCCTCTTCTTCATTTACGGAGAAACACCATCCTTCTTGTCCGGTCTTTTTAACTTGAAGTTGCTCTCGCGTGCACGATCCGTTCTCGTTGACTGGCGCCTACCATCAACTAAATAGCTTCTGGAATCCCGCGAACAGGAGAACGTAGACAAACGCGACGAGAATGAAGAGGAATTGCTAGGTGGCTAACTGCCTGCCTGCATGCCTGGCTGACTGCCTTAACTATTCAGATAATGTGTAAGAGATCATTTAGGAAACGCCAAAAGTTAACAGCAAGAAGAAACTAAGGGTGCTACGAGATCATTCCTTCGAGTCCCTTTTTCTTTTTTTCTTTTTTTTGCGCCCGACCATTGAACTCCCATATGCTCGTCTTCTTCTTCTTCTTCTTCTTGTATGGTTTTTTTTTTTTTATTTTTCGTTTCTTTTTTTCATATTTATTGTGGCAAGTTTTTAAGCAAAAAATAACCACCTTTATAGGGTGAAGGGAGGAGGTATACATTATCCTAGTGAACAAAAATAGCAGGAGGATCATCTCTCCCCCTTTTCCTTTCTCACTCTTCTCATTTTTCTTTACCATCTTCAATCTTGGACCCCCCTTTGCGGTCCTTGTTTTTGATATACTTCACTTCTTTTTATTTCGACCCGTTCGTTCGTCCGTTCATTCTCCTCTTCGTCCTCCTCTTCTTCTTCTTCTTCTTCCTCCTCCTCCTTCTTCTTCTTCATCCTTCTCCTTTTCCTCTTACTCTTCTTCTTTTTATTCTACATACATCCATCGGCCGGTGGTCATCTCAGTCGGTTACTTTTTATTTTTCACCGAGTGAGGCTATTTTTATCCCCGTATCTTCTTTCTCTTCTTCGTCCTTTTATTCCTCTTCCTCGTGCATCTTCTCCCTTCTCCTATTGGAGAAGTAAAAAGCAGCATGACCTTGATCGTTGCAGAGTGTATATCGCATCTAAACAATAAACGTAGTACATACTACGTACACGCGAGGAAATCAAATAATAAATATGAACAAATTATTAACAATAAGATAAATAAAACGTGCCACACACACACATACACACACAACATTATTATCTGTCATTTATTATTTAAACGAAAAATTCGTTTCAATTTTTCTTTCGTTAATATATTTCTATCTTACCCGCTATCATGGTTACTAAATACGAATAAAGATTGTTCCGCGAGTAAAATAACGTTTATACACAATTTTTCTTCCCTTATATTTCTCTCGAGTTCAGATAATCGGATATTCCTCCTTCATAAATTTGCACTCGGAGGAACGTCGTTCTCCTGTTCGTTCGCAACAAGCAGGTCTTCCACCCTTTAACATCTTCGAGACACGGCGCCTACCGTCATCTTCCTTTTTTTCTCAACCCCTTCCCCTCCCAGCTACCCCCTCGACTCGTACCTACCTACCTACCTACCTACCTACCTCCCCAATCTTTTTTCCTCTTTTGCATTTTTCTCGCCTCCTACTCCTTTTTCTTTTTATTTGTCTTCCTTCCTTCCTTCCTTCCTTCCTTTCTTCCTTCCCACCCTCATCCAACTCCTCTCGTAATAATCATGATTACGAGGATTTTATCGTTTCCCGGTTTTCGTTTGGCTATTTACAACACATAACGATCTATGTCTCTTCAACAAAAGGAATAATAACACAACATATGCGTATATGCACACCAGTCTAATGTTCATAGTCGTTGAAGTGCAGTAGTAAAAGAAGAACTGGTTTTCTTGGCTTGGAATATCTTTGCAAACAAAGGATTAGTTGCTTGGGCCTTGGCGAAGGCCGCATCGCGTAACGATAATATATCCGGGGGGTGGAGGAGAGAGGGCGTGTAGAGGTAATCGAGTAAACTATAGAAACATGGTTTTTACTGAGAATCCTGAAATAGTGTAAAAAAGAAAGAAACATATGTAAATACATACACATGTACACACTTGCACGTAGTCCATTTATAAATATATGCATAAAATTGCGTATATAATTTTATAAATATACGTCTTTATATATATATATATATATATGTAAAAGGTGAGAGAAAGAGAAAGAAAAGGAAGGTAGAAGAAGTAGGAAAATAAAAATGATCGTCGGCCTCTTTACTGGCCTCTTCTCTACGACTACTTTCGAGATAATGTAAAAGAAAAAAAAGAAATGATAGAGGAATCGATGATGATATTTATACTTATAGCGATGCGTTGGATGTAGTAACGTAGCTGGAAGTAATTGAACGGATTCAATATTAGCCTGGTCTGGTCAAGAATAGCCACGGTGGGAATCCCGTCTGACCACCTTGCTGCTCTTCTTCGATCGTTTCTCGGTTAAATTAGGGTGAATGTTCCGTAGCATCAGGTAGAGTAATCATTACTGGATTTTCCCATGGACCGATCCCGATAATCGATATCAAGCAGGACGACTTTTAAACGTTATGTCACTTTATGATAATAATCGTTATCATTTTTTTTTAACATACTTTTGATTTTTTTTTTTCAATAAAATTGTGTAATTTGTTAATAATTCTGTTACGCTAAGAATGATAATAATTTTGTTTAGAGTATACTCGATATATATATATATATTTATTCGTTGCTCGCGAAGAAGAAAAATATTCGAACATGTTTGCCATTTAATCGCTATCGGTAGATTTATGTTTTTGCAAGGAAATAAATTATTAAGAGAGTCAAACGTGACGATAAAGAAATATGATTTAGTATCATATGTTTAAATACATCAAAAAATAATTCTTTTATATCTTTTTTGTTGTTCGTATTTCACGGAGAGATTTCAAAATCTGTAAAAACTCGCGCGCCTTTTGAGTAGGAATTAATACTCTTTAATTGATTTATAGTAGTAATTATTTTTTTTTTTCTCAATTATTACGGTGTTAATTAACAAAGTATATGTTCTTATCTATTGGCACAAGATCGAAAGAAATAATACAAATAAGTTATTCACTTAATTAACGGAATTATCTTACCGATAATCATTTTCTTATTAAAGTTAGTGTCGATTAATTATATACATATATTTTAATAAAATAAATCTATTACAAATAAAATGTAATCATAATCGTTAATTATCATATAAAAATCATCGTGACAAATTAAAAAATAAATAAATTCTAATGACTTCTTGATTACAAATTGACGCATACACAGAGAATGTTTAAAACAAAATGGTGGGAAAAAGAATGGCGGGAAATTGAATCATTTTGAATCGTATTATACACGACAAAGATAAACGTGTGACAATAATGTTTATCATAAATTACAGAGCACATTTCACGTGATATCGACAGGCAATTGTTTAAGTACAAAATATACTTTTTTGGGAAAAACTTGACGAACGATTACATGTTTCTTCTTTGCTTTCACTGTTTTTTTTAAATACTTGTAAGAGGTTACATCAAATACATTATATTGTTATAAAAAATACCATGTGTGTTACATAGATCGTATTAATATCTATTTCGTTACACAAAGACTGAGAGATAGATAACTGGTAGTTAGAAAAATTAATTGTGCGTTACATTTGTTATTGGCCCCATAATTATATTACTGGTTTCAATTTCCTATTATTCATTATTTTCTTATCCTAATGACAAAACGAGTATATAGATCAACAAATAAATAATTCTCCATAAACACATCGAGATATATTATTAATAATAATAATAATAATAATAAACCTCGTGGGGAGGGCAGGTAATAATACCCCCTCAGTAATCCCTGCTTGTCATAAGAGGCGACTAAAAATGAAGCCACTATAGGACATCATATCGTTAATTTTTTCTTTTTCTTTTCTTATATTACTCTTTTCAAGTAAAAATATAAATGAAATATAAAATATTATATTTCTTTTTTCTTAAAATATTACAAAAAAATCAACTTTAAATCAACAGATTTTATTTAACTCTAATTAATATTCAACTGATTCGTATACTCAATTGATTCTTTTTTTGTTTAATAATTGTAAAACATCTTTGAAAGATTTGACAAATTGCAGCATTTCTTGTATTTGCACATAAACTTAAAATTATATAAGATCGCCTATTGTTATTGCTAAATTAATTTCATTAGTACATAACAAACCAAAAAAATCCTACGCAAATATAAATTGTTAAAATATCTGGTAATAAACCTTGTGCAATTTATGCGAAAGAATTATCTTTAAATCTAATTTAAAAATAAAAATTACTCTTGATCTACAAGAGAATACTCGGTTAAAAAATACTACTTAAACGTTAGATTATTGTACTATTTTTGTGAGAAGAGGTACAAATGAAATGTATATAAATTGTTTCCTTTTTTTGTCTTGTTTTGTTTTGTTGTTTTATCCTTACGCAAGAATACTCTCGCATACTTGAGATTTTTTACGACTATTCATTCTTTGCTTCTATTATCGGTGTAAAATTTGTCACAAAAATTCGGTTAATATACACACGTAATTAATATCCTACGATATAAATTCTGATATAAATTATAAGTAAAATTCATCAAAGCAATTACGGTTATTGTTATAAATTTGTTTATAACATAGCATTCGTGTTACTTTGTTACTTTTCTTAAAAACAGATTTATATATTGTTTCGACGATATCGAAACAAATATATGGTCAAAAAACTATATTCGAACTTTTGATTATTTCTTATATAAGAAATCTTATATTATAATATAATATATAGACCGTTTAAAATAAAATAATTTAAATTTAACTTTATCTATCGATCATATCCAACAATATTTTTTCGTTTAATAACTAATGAGATTTTCACATATTAAAATGTATTCTTATACTTTTCTTTTCCTTTCTTCTTCTTTTCTTTTTCGTTTTCATGTAATATAATCGTCAATATCAAAATAATCGCAATATCCTTCATTGCATTGTTTACTAATCGATGTTTCGATAATTTTTCTCATAAAATTTCACCGATTGTATTCGGCGTTGGAAGAATGTTGCAACGCTGCTAAGATAAATTTATAGCATGCAACATTTCTTCTTATTTTTCTTATAATTTGGTTTAAGCGGTGGTCTTTCAGACAATTGAAATTTACGAACAATTTTAACTAATTCGTGAAAGGCTTGATCCACGTTCATTCTTAACTTAGCACTACACTCAATGTAGGGAATTTTCAACTGACGTGCCATATTTTGTGCTTCCTCAACGGATATCTGTAATGCGAAAATTATATACATTAAAGAAATTTATTTACTAAACCTCAGCATTGGTAGTCATTCATTCATAAATTCGTATAATATATCTTACAATTCTTTGGTGATCCAAGTCAGCTTTATTGCCAACCATAAGCATAGGAAACTCGTCACGATCTTTCACTCGAAGAATTTGTCTATGAAATTTTAAAATTTCATCAAACGATGAATGATCCGTGACTGCGAATACAAGCAAGAAACCTTCTCCGCTTCTCATGTACTGTTCACGCATTGCACTAAATTCTTCTTGTCCCGCAGTATCCAATACTAAAAATTAAAATTTAAAGTAAAATTAAAATGATAAACTAAATATTATTATAAATATATTTAATACAAATATTAACACTCAAACGTACTGTCAAGTTTTGCAGGAACGTCATCGATGACACATTGTTTGGTATACGAATCCTCAATCGTTGGATCATAGTCGGTTACAAAATAACTCTACAAAAAAATTAATTTTCAATAAAAAGCACCATTAAAAGTGTTTGTTATTAAATGTAATTAGATTATACTATAATCTAAGTTAAACATATAATACAAGGAAAACAAAAATAGTTTACAATATTGATAGTGTTATCAACTGGTGAGATAAAGTTAGCGTGACCATATATGACAATAGTGTGTGCTTGTATGACATAATCATTAAATGAAATAACGTTCGTATCATTTGATATCGTCTATCAAAATAACGTATAACGAACTTTGACGTCATCAAGTTCTAAATAAGTTTCGTCCGTAGAAAATAGAGAAAAAGTCAAACCTAAATAACCGAAGATGAGATCATAGTTAAAAAATTTATCGTTAATTCATTTCCTTTCGGACAATCTATGAATGGTGTAACCTGGAGAACGATGCTGATTGGTACTTGAACACGTAATTCATACATTTGATTATTGTAGTAACATAAGAGCTAGTAACCATAAAAAGTACTTACTTGAATGAATTGGATTGTAATAGCTGATTTTCCAACACCACCACCACCCACAACTACGAGTTTGTAGGTCTGTGCGTAACTTTGTCTATCACTAGGTTTCGACATTCTTTTTATTTATTTTTAACGACAGTTTTAATTTGTCACATGTATGACAATGAAATGTCACTGGTGCGAATCTTAGATACGAGCAAGTAAGAGACCACAAGAGTAAAGTGAGAAAGAGAGAGGATGAGAATGAAAATGAGAGAGAGAGAGAGAAAAAAAATTGACAAAGAACAACTGAGAGGGGATGTGTATAAAATTGAGTGAGAAAGATAGAATAGTAAAGAATGAGATAGAAATAAAAACAAGGCACGTAAAACTAAATATTCTTTTTTCTTTTTTGTTCAAAGGCACCCCACATAGTCATTTGACTATGAATCAAACACTACGTTTACTACAATTTTTCTTCCTGAGATTCTTTAAAGCAACTCGTTAAGATTGTCTCTCTGGAGCTCAACCACTTTTTCTGGATGAGTATATGAATGTATATATATATGTGCGTATGTGCGTACGTGTTGTTTGTGTTGTGTGTCGTGTGCGTGTCGTTGTTGAGGTTAACACAACGCACAGTAGGAGTATAACGTCCTACGCACAAGGGATTATGCTATTTTGGTTGATTGCGCAGTCGCGATTACGTTAGCATTGAAATGAACATTATTTCTCGTTATTTCTTAATTATTTTTTATAATAACAAACATTCTTACATCGATGAGAAATTATGCAGTACTTGTTATTATACTGTTTACTTTTTAGATTATATAATAAATTAGATTAAGTAACTCAAAGAAATCTATGCGAAACCTCAAGTATAAATATTTCGCCATTGTTGTTTACTTCGTTTCTATTTTTGAAAGAATATCTTATAGCTTTTCCGAAAAGAAAAGATAAAAACTGGTTCTTTTCTCTCTTAACATTATTATTCTTTGACGAAAGAAATCAATTTTGTATTATCCAATCACGGACTCACATGAAATATTCGAGTGAATCAGAAAACAGTCCATTCGCAAAACGATTGACCAATCAGATGGTTTCTTTAGAAATGTCAAAATCTATCGTCGTTGATTCATTTTTGTATAGATACATCATTTAAATTATTAAATGTCTTTCAATTTAGATATATTAATTATTAGTAGAATTTAAAAAGATTGATATTAATTAATTCGTGTTTTATAATGATTTTATAATTAGTGATCTCTAATGTAATAAACGATTGTTCTTTTAATGTCATTTTACAACTTTTGAAACTACAGATATCGATTTTTTCGAGAATGGAAAATATCGATATATACGATACACGAAGTAAATTGCCGCGAATTTCAAATTTAAAAAGATCGAAACTTGCTACGGGCGTCGATACGAATGCAAAAAAATAGTAAAAGAAAACAATCATTTCTTCTATTTAGTTTTTCACATTTGCCAAGTAAAATTGACCTACAATAATTGCTCTCATAATGTTATGGTTAATAGTATTTTTTCATACGGTTAAATGCACTTTTTGTGTTGGAAATAACGCGCGTTAAAAGTAAAAAGTAAGAAGCCAAAAACTATCGAAAATAGCAAAATGGATCAATATTAGGGGAGAGCAAACATATTTGAATATTTATTATTAGCAATATAGTTTTGTGTTGCATTATGTACATATGTTATATTGATATTGGCATTTTTGTACATCGCAGAGCTTCTTTTTGTCAGAAAGCAAGATTCGTGATATTTTTGTTGTTCTAAAAAGGCAGGGACGAAAAACCAATATTATTTTCGATTGATTCCGAAAGAGAAAAAAAAAAATATTTTACATGTATACTTAACTATATTATACATATACTTACTATAAATATACACATAGAGACGTATATCACATATGCTGGTTAACATGTATCGATATTTTAGATGTTAAGTTGTTGAAGGAAAATCAAATGATTTTTTTAAACATGTATATCAGTGTGTATATGTTTTTGATTACATTGTTAAACCGCATAAGTAATATCGTATTCTCATCGTAATGGCCATATAATGTTTTCTCTGAACAATTATATAATAAGCATTTATATAACAAGCACAATGACATCGCAGGGAGAGAACATTGAAAATATATTATATTAAAACGCATACGGCAAACTTAATTTGCAATTTTGTACAATGCACAAACTCGTACTTTCCACAATTATAACGTAATCAACATATATTTTGCTATTTTTTTCTTTTCTTCTTTTGTTCTTCCATATTTTTTCGAAACAATGTTTAATAGCTTTCTTCCCAAAATAACTACATAATCGAAAAACGCATTTAAGAAATTAGAAAAAACTGCTTACTTATTTAGTTTTTTGGTTCCTTGTTTCCATTCCATTCGCATAAACTATAATAAACGCAACAGAGTACGTGTGAATAATAAAGAATTTAAATAAAGGTCGGAGGGGTTGTTCGTTGCTGGGAGGATCCTGTAATTGTAATTTATTTTATTATAGAACGTCTTCGCGACAGCACGATCGGCTATTTTTTTTTATTTTTATTCTTTTTTCTTTATTTTTCATAACCGATTGTCATTCCGTGCTTTCATTGAACGACGATCATCATTCGAACGATCATTGATTAAATAAGTTTCGATATTTCTTTTATTTTTTTCTTCTCTATTTCTTAAATCATCCATCATCTTCATACTTTTACGTCATACGATATTCCATCGTTTATCTATAACGTGTGGTCTCACTTTTTTCACATCATACTTTTTTTTCACGGTTTAATGTGAATTAGTGTGATTAAATGCAGAGGCACAAAAGGCACGGGATTCATATTTTAAGGATGTATGTAGTATCCTGCTTTAGTCGTACCAAAGCGTACCAAAAATCTATTAGTTACATCCGTAAACGTTCTTAATTTTTTCTTCTTCTTCTTCTTTTTTAATATCTCTTTCTTTCATAATTTTATTTTTTTCTCTCTCTCTCTCTCTCTCATTATTTTTTTTTCTTCTAAGGAAATATTATATGCACATACAAGCACTTCGAATGGAAAATAATTGTATATATGTAAATATTTATGTATGTATATCTCCATTTACCAACACGCGCAACGTACACGGGCAACAAGTTTTGGCGCGAAAACGCTCGTAATTTTGAAACGTTTTCGAAAAAGAAACGAAAATGATTTAGATCAAAACTTAAAAATAATTAAGCGAATTAGGACGAGTTGCTTCAAGTTTTTTTTCGATACTTTCAAAATAATAATGCCAGACATACACTCGCAATGTTGCTGTTCTTATTGTGGGCTTTTTAAGTTTTTCCTTTTTCATTTACTTTTCTTTAGTAGTTTGTTGTTTTCTAGAATGTATATATACATGCATTATTTTACTGTAAAACGATTGCAAAGAGTTTCTCTTTTTGTCTACTGCCGGGAGAATGAACCATCTCATCTCTGTAAAACTGATATATAACAATTTGTATATTATGATTTATAGTATAGGGGCACCTGTCAGTCTTGTATATATTCACGTAAAAACAAGTTCGAAGTTGTTGGTTGTATGTTCTAATTGGATTGTATGATCATTTTTATTTTTTATTTTCTGTCTCTATTTCTTCTTTCTCTGTGTTTCTTTTTTTTTTTTTTTTTTAAATCCCCTCATTAGAACATTAGAAAATTGTTTTGGTACACGAGTGATATTCGCAGTATGAATTAGAGATTAAAAATCGTTAATTTTTTTGTTTAAATTATGTAAGAATATATATTTTTACGAACAGAACAACTTTTATACAATCACAAACGAAGAAAAATTCGAGACTAAGAAATAATAAACCTATATTGAAATTAATTAAATGTAACAACGAATATTTAAATCGAGTTATATTATATATCGTTCGATAATGTTTAAATAGAATTATTTTGTATTATTATATTTATCATTTTGTTACAGAAAACTACAACCTGTATGACATGTTCTCGTTTTGTCTATAGTTTTTCTTTTTAATTAATTAATGAAATAGGAAGTAATAAATATACTTCGATATCAATATTCATTCTCATAGTCAGTCAAAACTTTGACATGTGGTTTTTTCTCTTTCTTTTTTTTTTTTTTTTTTACAATATGCATCATCATCATTATCATTTGCATGTTTTTTGTTGTACTAATATAATATTGAAAATTACTTCTTTATTTTTTCTTTAATTTAATTAAAAATTATTTTCTTTTTTTACCATCGTAGGAATTGTTGAATGGAAACTTTTTCTTTTTTTAAAACGAAATTACACAGTTAAAGGTGAAGTGTGATTGTCATAAATTATAAACGTATTAAAAGTGAGAGATTTTCTTTTTTCTTCTTCTAATTCACAAATATTTTCAATGCACATAATAATAATAATGCAATAAGGTAAAGTTTTTTCATTCTATTTTTCAAAATAACTAGAAAGTATGATATCTCACTTTTTGATATATTTCTGGTGCTGATCTACACAACTATAACGAATATTTACATTTTTCAAAACAGAAGATTCATTTGTTTTTTTTCCCTGATTTTATTTATTAGCAATCCTTGCAAAAATTAACGTGCTCATTCTCAATCGAAATTTTCTTTGTATATTATTGCACCTATAAATTAATATTAGAAAGGAAATGTCCAAACTCTTGTTGATAAACTTAATTTTATATTGATTATACGCAATCCTGTATGTACGTACGTACGTATGATTGTATTTATGTATGTATGTATGTATATATGTATGTATGTATGTATATATATATATATATTTATTTGGGTTTATTTGTTGTTTGTTTCTTTCTTTTTGATAGTTAATATTCTTTCTGTTCTGTATATGCAACACATATGGAAAAAAGTTCAGTTAGAAAAATTTACAAAGTACTTCAATTCATATGATTATTATAAGTATGTGCAACATAATACTATATTAGACAAATATTTTTTCACTTTTTTATTATGTTTTTTTTTTTTTAATTTTAATTAAGGCCCCAGTTTATTTAGCTCGGCTATATCCTTTCCACGTATAAAGTGAAGACAAAATTATTTTGCTTATTATATCCAACTATCCTCTCCCGCTAAACTATAACATAGAAACATATTTCTTTTTTTAAACGAAGAGATAAATCAATTTTAAATACATAAAGTACATTTTGTTTCCTTTTCTTGTCACTGTTACTTCGGACCATTGATTCTAAATTATTATTTGTCCTTACTATAAACTCAGTATACCTTAGCGAAGTTAAGATAACATAAGACAAATATTATACTTTTATTAGTTTTTTTATTCTTTTTCTTTTTAATCGTATTACTTGTACCTTAGAAATTTTGTTTACTTTCAAGTCATTTTTAAGTTTATTTTGTTTTATTTTTTTTTATTCTCGCGATTAATTCCAGGTTTTATTTCTTTTGTCTCAATCATGCGACTTTTTAAACGATCGTTTAATCAAAATTATTCACAAAATACTGTTTATCATGGATATAATACTCAAAATAATATTTCTTCTTATAGATAAGCCAAGGTATACTATTCAACTAGTATGCCTCACTTTTATTATTGAAATAAAATTATTATTATAATTTATAAAAGCGATCAACTTTGTATTGTCTGACACAAACTTAAATTCAAATTTTTTTTAAAAAGAATTAATATAATATCTACTGGAAACAAAAAGAAGTATTGAAATTACCCCCCTCCCCTTGGCTCATTTGAAACATAAATATTCAAATTCCTTAGAATCAATATGTATATTCCATAACTAGTAACTTATATCACGTTAATTAAGGCAATATATTACGAAAGACATTTACAAGCATATTTGAAATTAAATGTTTCCATTTACAGCAATTTGACAATGCCCCCGTTTTGTTTGTGGCTCTCATTTTATATTTTTTTATCAATTTTTTCTCGTAGCTGTACCGTAGCAGTAATATAATGATAATGCTAATGATAACAATAGTAATAGTAGTAGTAATTGTAGTTACAGTAATAGTAGTAATAGTAATAGTTGTAATAGTAATAGTAATATTAATAGTGATGGTAATAATAATAATAAAGACAAAAAGTAATAATATAATAATAATAATAATAATAATAATAATAATAATAATAATATTAATAATAATAATAATAATCAAAATAATGATCATGATATTGACAATGACAACAGTAATGATAATTACAACAATGATGATGATACTAGTCGTGAAATGAATTTAATAACAATAATGGTGATAGTGTGAAATTTTTGGAAATACTAAATATGATAATGACAATAACGAGGGCAATAGTCAGTAGTTACATTGTTTTAGTGAAATTGTTAGATAAAATTTTGATAAGAGTATGATGATAAGAATAACAATGACAATGAAGATGGCAGTAACAGCAGCATTAATAGAAATAAACGGCAATTGTAGATTACAATAAAAATTGTTTTAATAAATTGATAGTAGATCGATTAATCAATTGAAATTTTTAGCAGGGTTCTTCTCACAAATTGCAGATTAATAATAGAATAGAATAATAAAATTACTAATCAATAATAACATAAGGCAATATGTGGAGGATTTGGCCATCATAACTGGGCCTAGCCACCATCTGGTGCCATTCTTGAAATTCCTCACCAGATTGGTTTTGCTCACTGTTTAATATATTTGAATCTGACACTTCTCTATCTGTATCTGACATTTTATTGTTATTAGTGAGAGATGATAATTTTGGTTGGAAGTTTCCATTCAGTCCTTCTATTTGCTGATTATGTAATTTGTCAAGGTCCTCTTCAGATATTTCTTGAGGTGGATACACTGTACTATTTTGATCTTCATCGGGTTCATTTTCACAATCACTCCAGTTTATCGAACTTAGATCTAATGGTGGTAACTTAGCCAATATCTCCTCGACCGATAAATCTTTTTGTGATCGTGGTTGTTGGTTTTGCGTACTTGAATTTTCATCGTACACTGCACTTGTTTCTTGACACTTGGATGATAATTCACGACAGTTTTCTGTAGATTGTAACCGACTTTGTAAAGGAGTTTCAGAAACTGTACTTTTATGAGATGTATTGTTAGGAGTACTACGCAGGAACTTGGATACTTGTTCATTATTACTCCTCAAAACATCTTCCATACTTGGTGGTTCTACACTTTGACTAGGTAGAGCATTTGAATTAATGCTAGAATTTGAGCCGCGCGCTTGTAAATCAGCCAGCAATTCTTGCGTCGTTTTTAACTTAGGATTTCTCGAAATACTGGCTAATTTTTCCTTAACACGGTCCTCTACGTATGGCTGCTTCTTTACAGACTTACTGCCTTTTTTCCTTCCACGTTTTTTCGGGCCTGAATCGTCAGGATCAGTGGGAGATTCCACAAAATGATGGGAAATTCGTTCTTTCAATGTGGGGCTAGGCACTTGCGAATTTAAATTACCACTTATGTTTTCGCCGTTCAAACGCTGTCTTTTGACTAATGGTTCACATTCTGCAATCGAGTTTGATTCGCGATCTTGATAATTACGTTGATCCTTACAACCATCTTTTCGAAGTCGTTTATTGGAACTGTGAGTCCGTGGCACTGCTTCCATCAAATGGTTCTGACTCGAAGAGCCATGAGTGTGAGGTACATCCGAAGTTATCCGGTGGTTGCTAGTAAGTGTAATTGACTGCTTGTTTGAAGATGTATTAGGAGACCGTGAATGATCACTATGCACGGATAGAACTGGGCTGATGACCTAGAAAAATTCATTTATGTCATGGCAAAAATAATAGACGAAATCGAAAGCAAGTCAAATAATCTTATAAATAAATTCAATTCCTTTTTATAAGGGATATATAAAACACACAGGTAATAAAAGTTAAAAACTTACTTTTAAAGGAGTGACATCCCTTAAGAGAGGACTTTGCGGCTTTAAGGATCTTACAGCAGGACTTTGCGGTTTGAAACATCTTAAGGCTGGACTATGAGGCTTAGCTCCATTTAGGGCAGGTGGTGCTGTATCGGCAGGTGTTGGTTGTGGCGTAGAATGAGGCGACGGTAAAACCATATCCCTCCATCGACGTACCAAATCTTTAGCACGCTTGGCCAAGACATCATTGCTGGTCTTTCTTCGCAGCTCATTAATGTATTTACCAAGCCTTGTAATCTGTAACATTTAAAATTAATTAATATTTTGCAAACAAATTCTGTTTATCTTTTTCTACGCATTAGATTACATTACACATAAATTAAAAATATATTTATACCTCCAGTACTTCTTTGGTGATCGGCGTCTTTTCCAGGGCCGTAATGACTTCAACAACAGCTCCCATGTCAACAACCTACAAAATATATTAACAGTTTACAAAAATTACAATATAAAGAATCTTGTAAGCATAAATATATAATTGTAAGTAATAGTTTTATTTTTTATCGAAATGTAAAGTGAAAAGTTATTATAAATACTAAAATACATTCATATGTAATATTAAAAATTGTTAATTTAGGTTGTTACAACTATTGACAAATTTACATCACCTTTTCTGCAACAATTAATGATTGCAAATTGAATGGATATATGTAACACTTAACATTATTATATTAATAATATAATATTTTCCTAAATATCAATAAAAATTTATAATAAATAAATAGTTTGAAGGAAGCTTATGATACTAGGATCCACGACTAGATGTAATAAAAGTGTGAGATCTAACAAACAGAGAACATCTGTCGTTATCTGTCGAGATAAATCAACAAATATATCAAATGGAAGGGTTCGACACGTGTAGGTAGATCGATTATTAGATCGATCAGGTAACGCTTGTAAGAACATAAACGAAACGTAATCAGATCGAATCATTACGAGTTAAGGTATCAATATGTCAACGTTAAACGACAAAAGAAACCAATTGCATGAAACAAATAATTGTTTTTTTTTGTAAATACATAACATATGAACGTAATTTTAATTTCGAAACGAGCCTAACTATCGTTGTTTAGTTTTCGTCTAACAGAATAGACACAATGCAAGAAAAAAAAAAGAAAAAAAAGCAACTGAAAGAGAGAGAGAGAGAGAGAGAGAAAGAGAGAGAAAAAGAGAGAGAGAAATAGACAGATAGATAGATAGAGAAAGAAAGAGAGAGAGAGAGAGAGAGAAATAGATAGAGTTATATATGTATATATATTTTATATATGCATATATGTATGTATATATATATATAGATTATAGATATATATGTATATTAGAATCATGTGCAATTGTGCAGGAACATCGTACGTCGGACGTAGGATATTCGTTAACCGTGTCGACGATGTAATAGCGATTAAAGGCAAATATGTATTAGGATGAGGATAAAGTAGGGAAGTTAGTTCAGACAGAAATGGGGAACTACAGATGAAACGAACATCGTACGTATCTCTTGGAGATGTGTTTTTATAGTACAGAGTACTACGGGATACTACATAGGTAGAATTAAAAATTGTATGCGTAGATGATTTAGCATGAAAGAGGGAGAGAGAAAGAGAGAGAGAGAGAGAGAGAGAGAAAGAGACAGAGAGAGGTTAAGCCTCCAGGTTGTCGAGAACGCGTTCACGGATGGATATGCAAGGGAACACACACAATCTTGGGAAAGTAAGGGGGCAAGGGTATATGTTTCGTGGAGCGATATCCACACATAGGCAATACAAGCAAGATAGACCACTAACACGCGTAACCGCTCATACACTACACTCTCGACGGCTCTCGCGCACGCCACTGGTACAGGCACACGGCGCACGGGGGATCGAGAGTGGCCCGATAGCCGTTTGCGCGAGCGGACGGACGGCGCTTCGCGGATTCACTTACATTGTATTCCTTGTCAAGAGATTTTAACAATCTTTCGGTGAGTTCCGTGCAATATCTCTGCATCGGTGGGGCACACTTTGGGCCCTCGCGGGTTAGTTTAGGTTAGCGGAAAATCTGCTCCACGCGTACGAGTGTCGCGAATACGAGAGCACAAGGGGTCTTGCAATGGCGACTACTGAACTGTGTTCTGTTCGCATGCCCTCCCTGCCTCCCAAGTGTGCCCTAGTCGAGGCCCCAGCATCGTCCCTAGCCCCACGCCGCCTCATATCGCCGGAGGAGCGCTACTAGTTCCTTCACGCGGTTGGACAAGCTCTCCTTACGGACCGCCCCTCGCCTCTCTCTCCCATCCCTACCTACGGTGCCCCCAAACGACTAGGCCGATCGTGGCGCCCTCTTTCCTCTTTCTCTTTCTCTTTCATCTACTCTGTCTATCTTTCTTTATCGTTCTCTCTCTCTCTCTCTCTCTCTCTCTTTCTCTCCTCTCCCCCCCTTCTTTCTTCCACTTTCATGCATGCACACAACGACGTTCATCGTTGCCGTTATTCCTCGTCGCAACTTTCTCATCTACATTGTAGACACCTCCAACAAGTCATCTCAGTTTTCTACCCGCTTTTCGCCGTTAATCCGTACGGGTTCCGTTTATCTCATATTCATATTTCATACTTCACGTACTTCAAACATATTTTCGAGAGAGGTGTCTGATCATTAGGCAACTTTCAATCGTCTTCCTCCATTATTCTCGATGCTACCTGATTTTATGTGATGTAATAATTCCATCGATCTTTGAAGTTATAATCCTGTCTTTCGACCATAGTTCCGTCACGGTATATTAGCTTTTTGTGTTATTTCGAAAATCTGTGCAACAATGACGCTTGTCGAATTCCGTGAACAAAACAAAAAATGTGTTTTTTCTTAAGACACGTCATTCATTCTTTCGCATTTCCTCAAATATTTCTGTCCTTTCGAAAGCTGTTCGTGTACAGTCAACGGTACTTCGTGGATTCTACGGTCCTCGAATATCTAGACTTTACATTTTTCTCTTTATATTTCATTTTCTCGTACGTTGTTGAATAATAAAACAGTGACAATTCAATAAAGGAAAAAAAGGAATATTTCCTATATAGACATATACATATATCTCTCAAAAATATATCACATCATATTGTTCGTTGTCACAAAAGATATATATGATCGATTTTTTAATTTTATATTAAGATTTTACTAATTACTCTTCGTGCAATTGGGCGTGTAACGCACGATTAAATATGCAATTTCATTTGTGCTCTAATACAACAGACAAGAAGAAACATGTCTATCATAAATCGATAGAAAAATTCTATGTGAATATTCTTATAAAATAATATACATAATATCTTTATTATTATTATTATTATTATTTAAAATTTTGTATATTTATTTATTTATTTCAAATAAAGTCTAGCATATGATTCGTTAGATTTAACTCCAAATATGTCTGCTTATTTGACGTTAACGATTAGCTCATTATTAATTTGTTTAATCAAAACGTCATTTATATTCTGATTATAATTTTTCGTCTCGAAAGAAGCTTTTGGTTTTTTTTGCTTCTTTCGAACGGATTAATATCAGACTACGCTACTCTTATACGCAGCTTTTGATGTTTCCAATATACATATATATAACATAGTAAATGATACGCAACATTTTTATTGCATTGTTGTGAGGATGTGATTGGTTAAACGTTCAACGCTGTGATTGGCTGAAGATTGAAATGCATTTGATATGTGAAATTAACAGGTTATAAAATCAGATTGGGTATATCGTATCAACCAATCGTTGAGCAAGATTGATGTACTTATAAAAATAAAATGTATTAGAAATTTGTGAGAAATCACAAGTGAATATTATTGATTAATAATAAAATTGGATTAAACTATAGCTGTATTGTTTTATTAATTTTGTATAAGCATTCTCGCTCTTGTGTGTAATTAGTCCATAATCCTATTGGCTTAATTTGGACAAACCTACTTTTCTTATTAAACAGAATGACTATTGTTTGTTATTATATATTTAAAAATTACTAATTAATAACAAATGAAAAATACAAATATTTTAAAAATATTTATTAATGTAAAATGTTATATCTCATGTATCTAGAGTTGTATTGTAATTTTAGGTTGCACAATTACTCAATCTGTCAAATTAAAATTTTGGAAGCTAACTAGATGGACTTTAACCTGTTTATTTATTAGTTATTTTATTGCATTATCACTTCGTTTTATGCTGATTAACGAAGTCAGTCGACTCGAAAGTTTTACGTTTTATTATTTTAAATCTTTTTTCTTGAAGAACACTGGTAAGGATGACAGATCTACGTTTTGATAATCGTGTAGTTGTGGTGACAGGAGGAGGTGCAGGTAATTCAAATTTGACATTAAAAAATTGTTATTATATAATCATAATTTTTCAAATGATTATTTATATGAATTTTTTCGTTGCCATATGAAACTATAAAAATTCTATTGTTTATTATAACAGGTTTAGGTCGTGCCTATGCATTGTTATTTGCTTCGAGAGGTGCTAGCGTTGTAGTAAATGATTTAGGAGTTGGACGACATGGTGATGGTAAAAGTAGTCAAGCTGCAGATAATGTTGTAGCTGAAATTAAACGAAATGGTATGGTTTCCTCCTTTGCTATTCAATGATTATTATTTTTTATATTCTAGTTTATATAATTTAAACTAAATGATAAAATATGATATCTTATTTTTATGTAAATGATGCAAAAAACTTCTTTACGAATAAATTGTATGTATACGTTCTTTTAGAATTCTAGCAATATATATTTATTTACAAATTTTGTTTCTTTTTTTTTTAGGGGGAAGAGCTGTGGCAGATTATAATTCAGTCGTGGATGGTGCTAAGATCATTAAAACTGCAATCGATACGTTTGGACGTGTTGATGTACTTATTAACAATGCTGGTATCTTGAGAGATAAGTCTTTTGCTAAAATGACAGAAGACGATTGGGGTTAGTATACAATTATTTAATAATTCTAAATTTGTAAATATTTGTGAAGATATTTTATTTTGATGACATTTGTGCAGATTTGATACAAAATGTACACGTTAAGGGTGCATTTAAAACAACTCAAGCCGCATGGCCATACTTCTGTAAACAAAATTATGGTAAAGTCATTTTCACCACAAGTAATAGCGGATTATGCGGAAATTTTGGTCAATCTAATTACAGTACAGCAAAAATGGGTTTGGTTGGTTTGACAAAAACTTTGGCTATTGAGGGTGCTAAAAAAAATATAAGTGTTAATGTAATTGTGCCAACTGCGGCATCCAGACTTACTGAAGATATTCTTTCTCCTGGTAAAGAGTTTATTATATTTATCACATTGCATTTAATCTTTATTTATAGAACAAAAAATAGATATTTTCGTTATTTTTAGATCTATTCCAACAGTTAAAACCAGAATTAATAGCTCCAATAGTTTTTTGGTTGTGTCATGAGAAATGTAATGAAACTGGATCTATTATTGAATCAGCTATAGGTTGGGTTAGAAAATGTAAGTGTTAAAAATTAACCTAAAGTATAATAATATATATAATATAATATAATATAATAATCTAAGAATGAACTAGTTTGTATTTATACGTTATTTATTCATCAACGTTTTTTAGGTGATATCGTTCGTTCGCCGGGAAGCGTTGTGCGACAAAATTTACATGATCTGGTTACACCTGAAAATGTACAAGAAAATTGGTCGAATGTCGTTGATATGACTTCTGCTAAATCTGCAAATAATATGGAGGTAAGATATTTAAAATAATTCATAAATTTATTATTATTATTTAATAACCATTTTTGTCCAAAGGTTAAAAAATTAATGCAAACGATAACACATAGCTAAAATTAGATGTATAATATTTAGAAAGAAAAAATGATTACTTTGAATCCTCGTTTGTACTCGTTCCTTCTTGTCCGTCACAGAACAGTTAAACAATTAAGGTTTTTATAATCCCCCTTTTCCTTTTCTTCTTACAAACCCATAATAAAAGCCCTTTCCTTTTCTTCTTACAAAACCATAATAAAAGCCCTTTCCTTTTCCTTTTAAAATATCTGAATGACCTTTTCCAACTCTCTCTCAAGTCTTTGTCTACTATTTTCTTAAATTCCTCTCACTAGCTTAGGCTTTTCAAATTCTTTCTTCCTAGAAAATATAGTCTATAGCCTTCCTCTTTGTATTCCTTATTCTCGCTTCTTCCGATATTCTTGCATTTCATTCTTGTCCTCATTTTCAAATAATTAATGTATACAAACTGTTAATATTATATCATCAATTCTTATCTTTTTTTAAATAATATGTAGGAAATAGTAGGAGATTTGATGAACGTCATCGACGATTTAAAAGCTGGCGTTTCTACAAAAAAAGCTGTAAGAAAGAAATTGTATAATTATTTATGAATTATTCATTGTTAGTTATTTGATTAAAAAATTAATCATTTTTCTATCAGGGTGATGCTATATACTATAGTTATAATAGTCAAGATGCTATCCTGTATGCACTTGGAGGTATGTTTATGTAACAATTGTATTTACTTTGTATAAAAAATATTATGCGAATTGTAAACACGTAAATATAAAAAAATATTAATTAAAAATGGTAATTTTAATTATAGTCGGAGCAACAGTTCAAGATCCATCCGATTTACGTTATTTATATGAAAATCATGAGAATTTTTCACTTTTTCCAACTTACTACGTTATTTACGGTGCCACCGGATGTATGACTAGTTCAATTTTAAATGACGCCATACCCCAGATACAGATAAATCCAACGAATGTATGACAACATAAATCATTCTTTAATACGAATTATTCTTAATTTACTTTTATTTTTAGGCATTACATGGAGAACAATATTTAGAAGTTTTCAAAAAATTACCTACAGAAGCAAAAGTAAAGACAGTCTATAAAGTTGTAGATGTTGTCGATAAAGGAAAAGCAGCGGTTATCGTAGTTCAACGTATGCTTATAATTATATACATTTAAATACGAATATAGATTATATTTAAATTTGAATAATAAATTATTCAATAGTAGCATTTAATGTAGAATAAATATATTTTACAGATGACACCTTTAATGCTGTTAGTAATGAACAATTATCCACGGGACAGATATCAATTTTTATAATTGGTGCTGGTGGTTTTCAAGGCAAACGTACATCTCCGCATATTATTCCAACTATTGACCCACCCAATCGCAAACCAGATACATTTGTTAATCAAAAAACTTCTGATGATCAAGTATATTGATTTTATACATTTTATATTTTTCGGACAATTAATTATTGCTTCAGTATGTTTAATAATTAAATAATAAATGCATTTCTTAGGCAGCGTTATATAGATTGAATGGGGATGCAAATCCTCTGCATATTGATCCAAATGTTTCTGTAATGACTGGATATAAAAAACCGATTTTACACGGATTGTGTTCTCTTGGATTTTCTGCAAGACATGTTCTAAATACTTATGCGAATGGTGATCCAAGCTTATTTAAAGCGGTCAAAGTTGGTTTTAAATCCTTTATTCTTTTTAATTTTTAATTAAATAATTTTTATTTTCATTAAGACATATTGTTTTTTAATAAAATTTATTTTTTGTTTAGGTAAGATTTTCTAAACCAGTATATCCAGGAGAAACGTTGCGTACCGATATGTGGCAACAGGGCAACAGAATACATTTCCAAACATCTGTTTTAGAAACTAATACTATAGTTATCACAGGTAAGCTCGGAAAATTTTCAATGAAATTCCTATAAAAAGTTTGTCTATGTCTTTAATACAAAATACTAAAGCAATAGAAGTTTTATATCTGCATAGCTACAAGGGGTCGAAAATATCTGCAATTCTAAAGAATTTTATTGCTGTTTTCACTTGGGTTATTGTCCCTTACAAAATCTTCGAATTCCTTTGAAAAATCCAACTATCTTATATTGTGTTTTTCACTTTTAAAATATCTTGTCATCTGTTGTTTTTACAAAAAAAGACTCAACCTTAGTCATTCTTAAAATTTTTTGATAGACTTTCAAAACTGACCTCCAAAACTGTGAAAAATTAAAAAAAAATAGTGTCCTGTCAACGTGTTTCTCCTTATATGATAATTTGTTCAAAAAAATTGTTCTCAAGGATTATCCTTCTTTTTGCAGGTTCTTACATTGATTTATTTGATGTAAAAATAAAACTACAGTCTCCAACAAATTTAACTCCATCGCCAATTTCTAATAACAATGATTTACAAAGTAATGCAATTTTTGATACAATGAGGGACTACGTTAAAACTAATCCTGAACAAGTGAAGAAAATTAATGCAATCTTTCTTTACAATATTACTGTAAAAGGCAGCCCGAAAGCCCAATGGAGTATGTCAAAGACAATATAAATTTATAAAAATGAAAATAACATACATAAATTTATTATATTATTTGTATATGGTATTATATGATGAATTGATAAAATTCTTTTTTAATAGCTTTAGATTTAAAGAAAGGTGATGTTTATAAAGGAAAACCTACATCAGAAAAAATTGATACCACTTTAACTATAGAAGATAGTGATATGGTGGCCATAGTAAGTTAATTTCTTTTGTTTTATTATATGAAAATTTGTTCGATAATATATATCGATAATAATAATAATTATTATTCTTCACAGGCGACTGGAAAAATAAATCCGCAAGAAGCATTTATGCGAGGAAAACTTAAAATTACCGGTAATATTATGTTGACTCAAAAACTTAAAACGCTTATGGAAACGAACAAAGCTAAATTATAATCTTAATTTGTAATTGAGTTTATAAATAATTATAATTTCAATTATTTCGGGATTCGTAATAGACATGACCGATGTAGCTACCGATGTTATACGTTAAGGCTTACTACGTTTTCTTTTTTTTAATTTTTTTGTTGTTATTTAATTTCGTTGCTTATTAGATGGCGGCAAGGATTACCATTTTTCTCATTGTAAATAATTTTAATTATTTATACAAATTTTAAATCAAGTCATTAAACATCAGTATGAAAAAAGGGGATATTTAAATATTGATATGAAACATAAAAAAGTTTCAAAAAAATTGTTAGAAATCTCAATAAGTTTTGTACGTACAACACACGTTTGTACATCACAATTTGTGGTACATATTTAGTAAGTATAAGAAACTTTTTAGCGGTCATGCTTAAAAAGGGTAATCATTTTTTATATCGAGTTACTAACACAGTGTTTATAGTTTATACAATGTGTATAGGATCTGGGGGAAATGAAAGGGTGAAATTAAGTTTTTATTAAAAAGCTTATTTTAAAGGGAAAAATTAATACATTAAAATGTATTTTTTAAATATGTTTATAAAAATAAAGAAAATATGTATTAGAAAATAATTCATGCTGTACATTATTTATTAGTAAGTAGTTTTTATTATTGAGAATTTTTATTCTTTTTCCGTAGTTTCGACATCAGTAGTCTTTTCTTTAAGTCTTTGTTTTATTAATTTTACAAAATCTACAGATTCATTTATTTTGGACGTTCTTTCTACATTTTTAGGGAAAAGTCTTTTATTTCTCCTATGCTTTTTGTTATATTTAATATTACTTTTTACATTTACAGATTTAGACTCAGTACTATCTTGCAACCTATCTTCAACATTTCCATTTAACAATTTGTTATTTATAGGTGCCGATTTAGGATTTTCTTCCAAAGAGCAGACATATGTTTCTGATAGCTCCTTTTTTTCATTCTTCTCATCGTTATCCTGTTCCTGCTCGAATTTTTTAACAATAAATTCAGTACTGCATACAATCGCAATATTTTCATCTGAGGTATCCAAAAAAATCGTATCTTTATTAGCTATTCTGCCGCCGTGTATAAAAGCTGATATATTTTTACGTCTCCACATTTTAGAGGTGCTCGGTATAGATTGTTTGCATTTTCCTTCGAAGAAAAATTCGTTTAAATCGACCTCCTTAATTTCGCCTCTTAAAAATTGTAGATATTTCTTTAACGCTGTGTAAAAATGTAATTTGTCTGTCATTCGAGGAAAATTAGCACAACGAGCACTGCTGGAAGGTACAACCCAAACAGCGGTATTTTCTATGAGTTCTGGTTGTAATCCGAAATGAAAAGACGATTTACTAGTTTTATTGGCATAAACTTCATAAATACATTTTCCATTAAAAATAGCAATCTTTGGTTTAAATAACTTTATTTTCTCTTCGACAATCTTAGCACCTTCTTTGATTTCTGTTCTCTTTAAATCCGCAGAAGATCTAGTCGGTCTAGTAACTATATTTGTTAATCCTATTCCGTATTGTAATAACTTATGATCTTCATCGAAACCCATGCATTTTGGCGTTAAACCTGATTCGTATAGAAGTTTATAAAAATGATTACCAGGACCTGCATAATATTTACCACGGTGTGCTGACATCAAACTTGGATTTATACCAACGAAAACCATGTCAAGATTTTCTTTGAGGTAATCGGGTAGAGTATATTTTTGAACTTCTTCCACGGTAAGCCCATTGAATCTATTGACATTTGTTTTTGATTTTTCAATCCCATTCGATGTCGTTCTTTTTTTTAATTTATTGAACGCAAGGGATGACATGATTCTCCAAAAAATCATCAGTTAAATATTATAACATGCATGTATATGTAAACTTCTTTTTTGGCATAACAAGGATTTTTACTTTAATTTAATATCTATTTAATAATGTCAGATATAAAAATGGCATGTTTTTCTGAAGTAAGATAATCTTATTTTTAATTATACAATAACATAATAATAAGTTATTATTACACAATAATAAACTCTCTTCACGTAAACAGAAAATAAATCAACTGTTTTCAATCCCCGTTATATACAATCCTACAAGGATCATCCCTGCATTGAACTCCCTCTACAATCGCGCATGCGCACGTTGGCCATTTTTAAATTACTTTCGCGGGAGAGTGATCAGTCGTAAACGCGAGTTTCGTAGTGATTGCAATTAATAATATTTAATTGAGTTATTTAATTGATCGATAAAATTCTTCATTATTTATAGTGTTGATGAAATAAAATAAAATGAAGGGTACGTATGAAGCTTAATTAAATTACATTAAAAATTATTTCATTTCTCTATATATTAAATTAATTTAGATATTTTTCATTTTAATTTTTATAACCTTATTTTTTTGTTAACCAAATTTTAGTTTTTTATTTGTTTATTTGTTTGTTCGATTGATTATAAGATATTCGCATTCATTAATATTCTCGATTGGATGTTTCAGTGTGAATGAGGTTCATCAAGAATACGTGATATATCATGGCATTGCAGATAATTAGATAGTATGTTTGCATGATGCATTTATACTAATCTATCTGGTAGAGAGTCAGTGATCGTATCCGGATCGTGTTAGTTTTCCGGTCTGGTGAGTAGCTTCGACATCTGCATGTGTAGAATTCATATCCACCTTTATGGATTGATATTTGTTAAGAAAGAGAAAAATAGTGAGAGAGAGAGAGAGAGAGGAAAAATAAAAATAACCAGCAATGTTCTTGTACTATCTATATATCTCACCACTCAAATTATTCATTATAACTAAAAATTTCGTTCAAAATTCAGATCCCCGGATTAGAATTTGATTATTTGGGTACTCAATGTAAGATCTTTTATTCTAGTACAGGATTTATTCATTTTGACAAATTATAATGATACATATTTTTTTAAATGGAAAAGTAATATTCTTATGGGAATTAATAGATATTTGAGAAAAGATATTTATTGTTAATTACAAATTAAAAGAGTATTTGAATATCTGAATCTAAATCAAGCATGTACTCATGTATTTGGGTATGAATGAGAGATCATTTTGACTGACCCACTTTTTAACAAGGGTAATTTAAACTGTACTTGATGTATTTATTCTCTTTGCTAATAAAACAAGTTTCCGGATAGTCAATTTGGATACTCGAAATTGGACATTCAAAAATCCTAATAATAGTAAAAACTTTATTAGCCAACTGGGTATTATTTTATATATTTTCTTTTGTTTTGTGTTACTATTACAATTCGAACACCCAAAAATCAGAACAATCCTAAGAACTTTATTAACTTCCTATTCTATCTTTTCTCTATTGCTTTGTAATACTTTATTATTCTTTTTATTATACTACTTATTAATTCTTCTCATCGGGGTATCAATATCAACTTTACTATTACACATCAGTAGAAAAAGTATCAGAATATGTGCATTATCTCGACCGAAACCAGACGAATCGTTACAGTTGGACTCTTCTGGTCTTCTCTTTTACTCTCTTTTTTTTTCTCTCTCTCTTTTTCTCAATCTAACAAACGTACATATGTAATACATACGTACATACATATGTATGCATGTATCTATGTACATATATTGAACGAGCACGTTCCACTCTTCGTGTCACTCGAAGAGAATAAGCGAGACACGTAAAAGCTCTGTGCTTTCTCACCGAACGGAGATACTATTTGTAAACTAGGATTAAATTCCAACCGAGTTAAGAGGGAAAAGTAGGTGGAGAGAATCGAGTGAATACACGCGAACGTAACTCACGTCGTTCGACTTTTCTTTCTTTCTTTTTTTTCTCTTTTTTTTTTTTTTATTTTAGTTTTATTCCTTACCCCTTTTTTATTTTATTTTTTTTATTTTATTCGCACCACTGACCGCACGGTTAAGCGGTTTAATTCCACTTCCGGATTCGTCGAGATCATGTACGAACGTTTGCACAACTTTTCCATGACTTATTTCTGAGAGATTTCGTGGAGTTAAATTTGGTATTTTCCCATTGTTATGGGAAATTTTATATTTTTTTTTTTCTTTTTTTTTTTTTAATTATAGATTTAACTAATTTTTAATAATGTACATAAGTAATATTGTCAGGATTTTAAATTTTAAATAAATTTTTCAATGATTACGATTTGTTATCGCGCGTGAATTATTTTCATTTAAATTTATGATAAATAAATTCTCGCTTAAAGATAATTTTTCATAAGAATGGCGTAGAGAATCGATTTATCAGAGTGTTTTCATATTTTACGGTCAAATGATCGGGAAGAAAATTGGAAATGATCGGTTTCACGCGGAATCATTTGAAAATAAATAATATCGAAGTGTATGAGTTTCCATTTTGTTACACGTAAGATGCGCCTCAGAAGATATTTCTCGTAAAAAAAATATGTCTTCGTCATTTTCGTCTTCTTCTTCCTCTTCTTCTTCTTCTACTTCTTTTTCCTCTTCATTTTTTTCTTGTTCCTTTGTTTATTTTTTTTTTNTCCTCTTCATTTTTTTCTTGTTCCTTTGTTTATTTTTTTTTTTATTTCCATTCTTGACTGCAGCACAACGATGTAGCTGCTATTCTTGAGAATTTTTTTTTTTTTTTTTTTTTTTTCTTTTTTTCTTTACATTATACCCATGCTTCGAGTTTTCGAATATTCGTCGTAGAAATTTCAAGATCTTGTCACTAGTTGTATTTTCTAAAGAATGAAATATTAAAACCTCGAATTATATGAAACGTTCTCGTTATCAGAGAAAAGAAGCATCCAATATAAAAATAAAAATAGATGAATTGAAAAGGAGGATTGATATTATTTTTATAATACTTAAGAAGATACTTTTCGATTACCATTAAAGAATTGAAGAAGAATTGAAGAAGAATTGTATAAGAAAAATGGAAACGTGTGTGTTGTTGTTGAACGTAAAAAGTATTTTCATTCAATTTCTATCTTGAATCGTGAATGATCTATAAAACGAATTCAAACTATCTACATTCATATTGAATCCAGTCGCAAATTAAGCTGATTGAGTTCGATCGTTTCAAAATAGAGAGCAAGAGGTAGAACTGTATTAACTTATATAGAACAATTTCAATGAATAATTAATTTTTAACAAGATATAAATAAATATATTCTCATCGGTCTTTCCAACTTTTATTTTATTTTTTGTATCCTCTTTTGAGAAGTGTAGAATAAAAAAAAAAAGATGAAAATAAGAGTTGAAAATAAAAATGATTTGAGGGGAACTTGAGGGGATTTAGAAAATGAATTGCGTGAAGGAGGGAAAAAAATAGAAATTGAAAGATACTCGATTTGATCGGTTCATTATTTCGAAGAAATGGCATCTAATTCGATTGGGCACGCCTCCTTCATCTTCAAATACTCAACAAAGAAAGAAAGAGAGAAATAGAAAGTGAGAGAGAAAGAAAGTGGCCCTTGGGATTATTTTCGAGCGTGCAACCGCATTTAGAGTATTACGGTTCGCTTAATTTTCTCATTGGTGGAAACATGCTTCGGATAGAAGGTGTTCGTTCTCTAGTCGTGATACTAATTACCGGAAGTCGATCGAACTAATTATCGAGACCGAATCGAAACTTTAGACTCTCTGTCTGTTATCAGTCCTATATCGAATGCTATTGCATAGTAGAATTTAACGAATTTCGATGATAGTTGTTTATTAAATGCATTTAATTGATGTCCTTTCTGTTTATCCTTATTAAAAATAGTATTACATTTTCATTAAATCAAATGAGATGATTCATTGAGATGGTTGCTATGAATTATTGAAAGCAATTTGTTATAGGTTTTATTTTCCAATGTAAGATTAGGAACGTTCACTTTTCTAATTTGTTTGTTGAATTATTTCTCGAAAAGAAAAATAAAGGATATGGGTAAAAAATTCGAAATGAAATAAATTTCAATCGTGATTTCGATATAACATATGTATTTTTAATAAACCATCAAATCATCTTCTCCCAGAGGATGCAATTATTTTTGAAAAGTTATTCAGATTAAATGGTTACATCTGCAGAAACGAAATTACCTTAGTCACTCGACGGAAGCGACAACCGTTTCGTTGGTTTTATCGTTCGGAATTGTCGTAGGAGCGTTGCGTCAGCGTGTCACATCCATCACTATCGCGAAACACCCTGTGAACCAGGTTCAACCACCTACTCGTCCTTTACCACCCTGTATATTCTCTCTCTCTCTCTCTTTCTCTCTCGCGTTCCTTTACTCTCTCCCACTGTATTTATCTATTCCTCTCTACCTATCCATTCGTTGATCCACCCTTACCCCATTTATCTGTCCATCTATCCATTTCAAATTCTCTCGATTTTACCTAACATTTTGTACTATTTGTAAGCGGTTAGAATTTACTATTTTTTTGTTGTTTTTGGTTTCAACTTCTTTCTTCCTTTTTTTTTCTTTTTTTTTTTTCTTTTGAATCGATTGCGAGATTTCTTTTCTTTTTTTCCATCTCGTAGAGTTTAATCCAAAATCATAAACAATAGTTATGATTTAATGTTTCGTAAGTTATTCTTTTAAAACTTTTTTTTTTTATCCTTTCAACGTCACGTTTCCATTCATTATTAAAATTATGATCCTAGAGTTATAGCCAATGCACTTAGCTTTGTTAGGAATGCGAATGAGGGTTGCGTATTGTGTTGCGTCGCGACATGGCATCTCTTTCACGGCGAGACATTGCGTCTCGCGAATCGAATACCATTTCAAGTCGTTATGAGAATAAGAAGAAGGGGAAGTTCTGTACGCATTTGGAATTTTATTTTAATTGGACGATGAGGAAGAAAAAAATTGCTTGCTCGATTATTTATATATTACCAAACGAGATAGATAGATATCATCCAATCGTATCGAGCAATATTTATTTCATCAATATTATTCTATTCTTTATATATAATTGAGTAAATTTTTCTGTGGTTTTTTTTATCTTTCTTTCTTTTTTTCTTTCCTTTTTTTTTGTTCTTTACAGAACAAACAAGCCTTAAAAACGCGTGCAAATATTGCATATAATATCGAACAAATACTAACATTCAAATGTGAATGTACCGAA